TTTATTGCTTTAATCAGTTGTAAGCTGCCCAGAGTCCCCCATTAGGGGGAGATGGGCGGGGATAAATTTAAAAATAAATACATAAATAAATAAATAAATAAATAAAAAATATAAGAGAGGCACATTGAAACAAAAGTTCACGAACTCTTGCAGTAGTTCACTTTACAGCAGCAACAGAACTAGTTTGTAAGACACACTGAGTTAAATTGTTGTTCACTTGTTTCATAAAAGCAGAGTATGACATACAAAGCCAGAGGTAATAAAAATCAAATCAATATGTGAAAATAAGATCAATTATAGGGCTTTGTGTTGGGACCCAGAAATTTACTATAAATAAAATTTGCTATAAATAAAATGGTGCAAAAAGCAAATATGCTTGCCCCAACACCTTTGGTCCTCAAAAGTAATGTGCTTACAGTTAGAAAGTTTTTCTGACATTCAGTGAGAATCTGCCCAGCTGCAACTTAAGTCTGTTACTCATGTCTTGCATTCTGGGACAACAGAAGTCTTGACTGTTTTCTGTGGTGATACCCCTTCAAGTATTTAAAGAATGAACTATTGGTACCTCCCTTTTATCTTCTTTTCTCATGACTACATGGGAAGTTCCCTCGATCTAGATTCTCTTGAACTAGTTCAAGTTTTCTGGAATCTTAAATTATGATATCCACAACTGGACGTAGTACTTTAAGTTGGATCTGACCAATGCAGAGTTTAGTGGAACTATTATCACAGTTTGGAAAGTAGTTTCCTGTCGATGCAGCCTATCCAACGTATCCCATTTGCTGAGCAGGGTTCAGACTAAACAGACAGTAGAGCAACTGGGTGTTGGGTGACCAGCTGAGTCCCTGCCACTGGAGGATGAGGAGGGGTTGAAGTGCCTTTTCACCCAGGCGAGAGGTGGCAGCTGTTGGAGAAACCAGTACCTGGAACAGGGCCTTTTTCTCCACAGAGTATCCAGCCCATTTCCCACCACTGAGTCATGGTGGCTGCCTTGGATGTGTAAAACAGGGGATGTGGAGGTCCCATTTAAGGTAAGAGGCAAAAGGAGGTGAGACTCAAGCTGTCCCAATGTTGTGACAGGGTGCCTGGGGTATTGCAGCCTTGCATATTTAATTGGGTGAGTTCTTTAACATCTCTAAGCATCTCTGGTGTAAGCATGGTTGGGTGATCACATGGTGCCTAGCTGAGGGAGCCTTCTGATAGCTCACCCAGGGTGTTTGTGTCTTAATTGGAACATAGAAGCTCTTTCTGTTTTTTTTTTTTAATGCAGAGAAGGCCAGTTCTTCTCATCAGGATAGGAATTTTGGTAGTTACATCCCTATAACGTTGGCCCAAGGGAGATATGGTGGGGTGTATTCGGTGGGCCAGTTAAGGGGAAGGGAGACTCCTAGTCTGATGGCAATCTCCATTTCCAACCCAGTTATCTGATCCTAGGGATCATGTGGCTGATGGCTGGTGCTACCGGCCTCAAGTTGTTGATAGTTAATGCCAGAACTGTTTGAAATAAGAGCATCTTCATTCACAATATGGTACTGGATGAAGTAGCAGATCTGGCATGTATTACCAAGACCCCGCTGTGCAAGAGCAACAATGTTGCCTCATTGGATGTCTGCCCAGGCAATTACTGGGTCTTCCAGCATCCTTAAAACCAAGATTTTGGGGGGAAGGAGGGGATGGTCTTTGGTTGTGAGAAATATCTTACCTATGACCAGGGACTCTGCTGTTGAAATATCAGGAGGTCAGTGCCCATTTGTTAGGTTGAGCTGCAGAGACAAGCCTGGGATTCTCCTGGTATACTAATTGCCTTGCCGCCCAGCAAGATCCCTCCCTAATCTCCTGCAGCTGAACTCTGGGCAGGTTAGGGAGAACCTCTGCTGTTTGGGTTGGGGGACTTCAATGGGCTGCTCTGGCATCTGGCTCCAGTAAAGCTCAGGAGTTCATGGCCTTCACAGCAACCATAGGCTTGTCTCAAGTAAGCATGGTTTGCTTCCCTTATAACCATGGTGTAGGCTCAACTCATGTAGGCAGTCACACTTTAGATCTCCTTTTTGTCTCTGAGGAGATGTGGGAGATGAAGGAATTTCCATCACCTCGTTGTCATGGTCAGATCATGCCCTGATTCAATTGCAATTAGTAGCCACGTGTCCCCTGCGGGGCTGAGGCATCCATTCAGTTGGACCACTCTAGGCACCTCATGGAACCCACTAGCTTTCAAAGGACACTTTAGGAATTTCCCAGCTCTCTGTCAGGCAGTTCTGTTCAATACTTGAACAACTGGTAATAGGAGGTGAACTGAGCTCTGGACATTGTTGCTCCTGAGCAGCTTCTTTCCAAGGGTCAAACTTGGTCATCACGTTGGTTTACTGAGGCCCTCCAGGAGAATGCCAGAAACAATGCCTGGAGGACTGGTGTAAAAACTTAAGAAAAGGCCCTCTAAAATAATTCAGATTTAAACCTTTTCCAGAACACCAGCAAGAAGGGACCCATCCTGATCTCCATTGGGAGGCTGTTCCAAAGCACCAATACTGCCACAGAAAAGCATCACCTTCTAGCCTCAGCCCCCCTGAACCTCTAGAAAATGTGGAATTATAAGTAGTTTCCATCTAAATGTTCTAGTAGGTTAAGCTGATACTAGTTGGAGTAGATGACCCTGTAGGTACCCAGGTGCCAAGCCATAAAGAATTTTATAGGTCAAAACCAGCACTTTAAATTGTACCTGGAAACCAATCTGCAGACAGCGCAGGGCCCACAGGATTGGTGTTATATGCTGTCAGTGACAGGACCCAGTGAGCATACATGCTGCTGCATTCTGGATCAGTTGCAGTTTCTGAGTAGTCTGTAATGGCAGCCCCATGGAAGGTGCATTGCAATAGTCTGCCTGGATGGTAATGAGGGCATGAGTTATTATATACACTCTAGCCAGATCCTCCTGATCCAGTTATGGCTGTAGTTGGTGCACCAGCTGAAGCTGGGCATAGGCCCCTCTGGCTGTGGCTTCTATCTGTTGTTCAAGCAGGAGCTATGGGTTCAGAAGGTCCCATACATTTTGACCTGCTCCTTCAAGGATAGGGTCTGTCCATCAAGCAACAAGCCTGGTGCCAACAGAGAACCCTGATGTACAAGCAGCAACTCCATTTTACCAGGGTTCAGCTTCAGCTTGTTCTCTCTCATCCAGTCTTCAGGCACCAGGATACAACATTGATAGCATCCGCTTTGCAGCCCAGCTATGTAGAATTATAGCAGCCTTTATATAGTGTTGACTTCAGTTTGTGATTGATTCTCTAACCCATCAAGATCATTTTGAATTTTGTCTTCTAGGGTGTTAACTCTAGAAGTAGAGTTTTACGAAATCTGCAAATTTGTTAAACATTGCTTTTACTTTTTCATCCAAATGTTTTAGAAAAACTTTGAACAGCAAAAGGCATGAAAGTGACACCTCCCATTATATCTACCCTCCAGTTTGATGCAGAACCCTAACTAGCTTTCTCTGGTGTGGTCTTCAAGCCAGCTGTAGAGCCATGACTGGGCATATAGCTTATATATAACCAACTTCCTAAGCAGATAGATCCTAGAACACTTTTTTCAGAAGCTTACCTGGGGTCAAGAGAGCTACCAGGTGACCTCACCATGCTACAGCAAACATATTGTTTGCAAACATATTAGTGGAAGCTGCACTAAAATGTTTGGGGAAATATGAAGACCACAGTGGATGGTGCAGTAATGCAAAGTAAGTGGGACTTTAATACTTGGGGGAGTTTTGAAAGGATTCTTTACATACAGTATATATGTACCCATCACAAACTGTCTTTTGGAGTAAGCAACGTTATTCAGTGTGCAGAAAAGAAAATCTTTTTCTTCCTGAACACATTATGCAATGTATTTGTCTCACCCTCATTTTTGCAGCAATCCTTCTCTTATATCCATCTTTTCTCTCAGGCAGAGCCTACTTCACTTCATCATTCTACTAAGCAATCTTTTTCATACTTCCCAATAGCATAACTCTACACATTTCTGTGGCATTCTGTAACATAATTCTTCTTGTGCTTGTCCAAGCAGCTTTCACATCCTTTTTCCAGATCCAAATGCAGAGGAAATCAGTAAATGAGAAGAATAATCAAGAAGGGGTAGCTGAATATTTTTTTAAATAGTTCCTACTCTGCATCTGAGGTTACATATCTTTGTAAAATTGTTTGCATTTCCAATTCAAACCTAGAGGTTGTATTTTCAGCTCCTAAAGGACAGTCTTTAAAGCTCAGTATAGTTCTCAAGTTGAACTTGAGAACGATATAAATTTGCTAAATGGATAAATAGAATAATAAACCTAGTCAGGTAAAAGCAGATAATATCTAAGGTTAATGAATTTATATTAGGCTACTTATTCAGAGGACTGGAGTCATAAAAAAAGTATTAATACACTGAGGTACACTGCCGCGCATTGCTGCGACGGGGTGTTTGCATCCCGTGATTTCTTTCTAGTTATTTATTCATTGTCTTTTGGTACCTTTCTTTAAAAATCTTACGCAGCCGTCTCCTCAGCTCTGTGAACTAAGTCAGGCACAGTTACCAGCAGCCTAGCGAGACTCAAGATAGAGTTGACATAGAACTTGAGTCAGTCCAAAATCTGCACGAACGGGCTGCGCTGCCTCCCTCTAAGGAGACGGAAAGCGCGCTCGCGGCGAGGGGGCGTCCCCAGATCGCCCAGCCACGCGAGGACAGCGCTGTCTTCTCTCGGAGCCGTTCTTCGCCTCTGTCTCTTCACGGGAACTTTGTCGCCGCTCAACGCCTGGCGGGAACTGGGCTAACACGTGCAGCTAGTTGCCCGCTTTGTGGGACGCCGCCAGCAGTGCCAGCTGTAGTCGGCTGGACGACGCTGGGAAAGGCGCAACAGGCAAACAAATCCTAGCAAAACTTGAACGGAGGGAAGACTTGCGGTTGCTCCCGCAGCTTGGGCAAAGCTTCCACCCGCCTCCCCGGGATCTCCTGCCCCGTCTCGTCCTTACCATTTGGGCCACTTTCAGCATGGCTGAGCAAGAGCCCGCGTAGCCTCTGTCGAGTAAACCGGCGTCCGACCCGTAGAGAACAGGCGGCGGAGCAGAACTGGGAGCGCCCCCACTGCTGGCGTCGGTGCGGACGACCCGCGTTCCGTGAAACATCCTGCGCCTTCCTGAGCAAACGGGGGAGATTTGCTTTTCCCTCAGTTCCTCCTCCTTGGGAGAGCTGCTGCGCCGCTTTGCAACTCCAGGGGCGGGGCGGGGCGGGGCCCGGCAGCACCCTGGCTGCGGTGCCTCTTGCACAGTTAAAGCCGGGCGAAGAGGAGACAGGGCCGGGCCAGCGCCCCACTAAAACCACCGGAGTAAGGTGGAAGGGCGGCGATGCTGCTCTGGGGAAGGGGACATGTCGGGGAGGAGGCGCCTGGAGCCTTAACAGAGCGCTGCCCCGGTGCTCGACTCGCCAAGAGGGAGAGAAGGTAAAACAGGAAGGAGGAGGTGGCAGATGGAAGAAAGATTTCCCCCTCCCCTCTCTCACACACATAGACGATAAACAGGAAGTCCATTAAATTGGTGGTGGGGGAGGAGATGGCGAAATGGTTCGGGGCCTGCTGCCGTGAAAGGTTTTCGAAAGAGGGTGGGTAACTATTCTACAAAAAGCGAGAACGTTCGTCTTAGATTATAATGGGGAAAAATAAAAACCTACATTAGGACAGTATCCTATTAGGCCAACAAGATGTTAAAACGTATTCTTTAGAACTCTTCATGCTGAGTGGAAAGCAAAACAACGGAAGAGCGGAAGAAAAAGCTGGTTGGAGTTGGGAGGGTTTATCTAGTGATCATCTGAAGCCAGACTTTCAAATTGGATTTCCTGTTAGATATTCTGCAAGTTTAAGATTGTCCCTAGAGTATCTTTGAGCCTGTGGGACAAAGAAATGACCCGTGGCTAATAGCTAGTTTAAAAGTAGATTACAGTGCAGCTGTTAAGATGATCCTTATGCTTTTGTAGAGGTTTTCTCAAGAAGTGTAAAACAGAAATCAAAAGCAAGTAGCTTTGAACACCAAAAAATCTAGAGGCGATTTCAAGTGATGCACTTCTTTAAAAAAATAAATATAAGTTAAATGAGTAGATTTATATAATTGGGAGTTGATGTTGAAGTAGATCCTTGGCCTGATCCAACAGGATGATTCTTGTGGAAGCCCTGCCCTTAACAAGTACCACTTTCTCCAGCTTTGGCTCTTCCAGTTCTGAAGAACATATTGGCTACAAATTCTGGGAATTGCAGTTCATACTTTTGGAAGAGGCTGGTATGCAGAAAGGTATGACACTGAATGTGTAGGACAAGCCGCAGGGATTCCATATCCAATGGCAATGTATCTCTTACTGAGATTCACTGCATTGTATTGGCACCTGAAACAAGCTCCAGGACTCAGTAACACAGCTCAAACTGAAGTTGAGAATTCAGGGAATGAATTTCTCAAGGTGTGCCAAAATTGCTAGATGGCAATTAATTGTGGGTTGACAGTTCTTTGTCCTGTCTCTGCATAACGTTTAAAAAAAGGCTTTCTTATAATCAAGCTTGATTACTGGTGACTTCATGGACACACCAATGCAATTTTTTTGGAAATAGCATGCCAACAGTTTGCCAGTCACCTTCCAAGGTATTTTTCAACTTCCCAGTCCAGCCAGCAGCCTTGGTGCTCTCTGGTAGTCTCCTATCCAACTGCCTACTAGCCAGGTTTGACCATGGTTAGCTTCTCTAGCCATACATGGTTAGCCAGATACTACCACCTGCTGAGCTGTATAACCTAAAGACTTCCCTTAGCCCAGATGATTTTGCTACCTAGATATAGCCAGTTTAATGTAATTAATTTCACATATATTTTAATCCTATTGTCCCTTCAAGTTGCTCAGAGATGGCATATGTGGTGCATCCTGCTTTTTTACACATAAAAATGTCATTGGGTAGGTCAAGTTGAAGATTCTGACTAATCCAAGTTCAGGCTGAATTGTGAAGTCTGTAATTCTCTACTGCCATGACTGCAACACTGGCTCTGAAAATTCTTAGGAAAAAAAAGTAGGGAAGAAATTCCAAACTCATAAGGTTCTGGATCTGTTTGGACTTGCAAACAAAATTGGTTAAATTTCTTTTTCTGCCACACTTTCAGATGGCATTGCATTAGTCCTGCACCTTAAGAATTACAGTGCTTCAGTGGGGTATCCAGGTATTATTCTACTTCTTTAAAGCTCATAAGATTAAAGGACATTTCCATTATAAAAAACAATATTTCATGTGCATGGTGAAGTTTATAGAGACTATCAATCCAGTATTCAATATATCCAATAAAGTTCCTGGCACCAAGTTTAATTTGGAAAAAAAAATGCCCTGCTGATCTTAACGTGAAAATTAAAAAAATTCTCTAATGTATATTCTGCTATTACCCTTATATAAAACAATCGGGATGAACTGGCCTGCTAACTATTTGACAAATGAAGTGAGGTGAATCAAAGAGGTCTGTGCAGTACTGGGATACATCAGGCATCAGTTTGCCAAAATCAAATCTGTCCATCCAGTCCAGACATCTAGGGAGGACTAGTTAAAGATTCCCGCATGAGAGGTACACGGGACATCAACAATGAAGCAGCCCTTCTTCGTGGTGCTCCCCCACCTTTTGGAACACTCTTCGTGCATTTTCAGAAGCAGGTAAAATCTATCCAATCCAGCAAGTGTTTGTTCCAGTCCGATAATTGGGGCATATATTGTAGGAATTTGTTTTTTGTAGTCTGCAATTACAGGTTGATTGGCTATTTTATTACATAATTTTATTGTAATATTTGTATTATTTTGCTAATATTATTGTTCATCAGCCAGAGGCTGACAGGATTGAGGCAAGTTATAAGCATTATACATTAAATAAACATGCCAAAATTATGCATTTTGTAAGAATAGTGTTTTCCCCCCATATTGCCACTTAATGTGGACCAGGACTTCAGTAATATTTTTTAAAACGTTCCTGCTGTTTCTAAAGCAAACTGTCCTATGTTCATGTTAAATCTCAAGAAAATTTTCTCTGCTTAAGATTATAATTTTTTGTTGTTCTCCCCCCCCCCCCAGGCTTCTATTGCAGTAACTTTGGGATATTAGTACCGGCTTTTGACAGTGTTAGGTGGTCAAATTATGTTCCATAGATACAGAATTGTGTTTGTTCAGATCCCCAGAGGGTGACTATTTTGTTTCTCTAGTTTGGTTGAATAAAAAAGCTCCAAGGAGAATGACCCCTAACTCTGTAAACCTTAAAAGGTGGTTTTAAAAGAAGGTAGTTCTGCCATAGACCATGTTTATGCAACATGGTGAGGAATCTTAGGAAGTGAGAGGATGCATGATGCCCTTTTAAAACTTTCCATGCACTTTCAGATCCACATTATGTTTTTGTTTATATCATAAACTTCCTCCACAAGCTCAGTTGGCAAGTTTTTCTATAAAAGTAACCCTGAGAGATCATGTCTGAAAAAGTCAGCCTGTGAGCTTCCATGGCTGATAGTGGGCTTGATTCTGGATGTTCCAGGTGCTAGTCAAACGCTTTAAAGCCATTGCACCACATCGGTTGATCTCAGAATGGAGCCACCTTTATCCTAATGTTGTAACAGACAGCAAATCTAAGGTATAGAATCCAGACTAAAGAAACCTCAGATTATAGCAGTTTATAAACTCTTTCACTGTTGCTTCTCAGCAACTAGTTCTCAGAGGAATGCTGCCAGGAATGCAGGAAGCAGCATATGATCTCATAATGGGCAGCTCTATCCGTTCTGAATTTGTTTAATCCCCTATTCAATGGTTTAAGATGGCCATCATCACATCCAACAGGAGTAAATTCGAGAGTTATGCTCTGTGTTGTTTGGAAAAGTCCCTTCTATTTGCCCCAAATCTTCCACCATTCAGATCCATAAGATAATCCTCAGTTTTGGCAGTATGAGAAATGGAGAAGTTTCTACCCACTTTTTCAACACTTCTTATCATTTACAAAAATAATTAAAAAAGTAACACCCTAAAACATTGCAGTCTTTCCCTATATGAAGCTGTTCATGGCCCTCGTCATTTTAATTCTCTTTTCTGCAACTTTTCCAGCTCTAAAGTGAGGTGCAGTTACTAAAATGGAACACAGTATTTTAAATGTGATACTACTACAGATCTGTGCAAGGATATTACAGTAATGCATTTCTTATATTCAGTTACTTTCCTAAATATATGTACCCTAATGAATTATAAACTATTCCCATCTATATCTCACTGGTAATAAGCCTGCAGCCTTGAAAGCTTATACACATTTGCTTGGAAGAGCAAGTTCTAAGAAAAAGTGGATTTTGCTAATGAATAAATGAATGATTGGACAAGAGTATTTATGAAGAAAACAACTGAGAAGTCCACTCATTTTGTTACAGTACTGTACACTACCTAAGGAAATATGAATTGATACAAAGAGTAACATGTTCTATTTGCAGTATTTTATCTGAGAGAAGATACATTTTTTTTTCCTGTTACAATAGTTTTCACAGATTTTAAATCAGTCCATATTAATCATACAGTGGCCCTGTTAGTACAATGCTTGAATGGAAACATTTTAAGTGGGTCATGACTAAGGGCGAGGAACAGGTAAACTAAGAGGCCTGGTCTTTTTTTGGACAAAACTGATTCCCTCGAGATTAGATGAACTACTTACTTGAAGGTAAGGCTGGAAGGGAGAAGGGAACTGCTGCAAGTCTAAAGACAGGGCTGTTAGCTATAGTGATTCTGGGCCATGTGTGGTTGGCACCCAGAAGAGTGAACCTACAGAGGAGGATATGACTGGGTCATCCATGTCACATAGGCACAGCTGTTAATGCCATCAAATGTAATTAAGAATTCAGTCCTACATACACACACCAGAAAGAATTAAGTGAATTCTGTATTCAATATGAAGGAATTCAGTTGGGCTTACTTCAGCCCAAGGTCTATAGATTTACAATGCAAGGCTTCCATGTTTACTTAGATGTACACTCTATATAATCTATAGACGATCAATTATACTATAGTTTTGTCATTGAGAACATACCAGTGCTGAATTCACATAAGCATGCTTACCAATGGATGACTTAGTCATGGTTATCCCAAGCTATGGGGGGGGGGGGGGAGAAGGTTACATGGCCTAAGATTGTATAACATGCTTTACATGCATATGGTTTGTTCATTGTGGTTCAGGGCTCTTTCATGCTGTTGATTTCATTCCCCAAACCTTCAGAACCAGTTTGAAGGTGATCTGTGACCATTTCTGTCAAGTAGAAATGCTGAGAAACTCGAGTGAAAAATCACTGCTTCACCCAAGCTACTGCCATTGCTGTAACAACAAAAATCACCTCACCATTTAACACAAAAAAGGAAAGTAAAGCTCTAGTAGTCTTGGACTTCTCATGCCTTGTCCCATGTTGAAAGGAGAAATCGACAAACCCTCTGTCATTCCATCAAGATGACACTTCTCTTGCAAAGCCTGAAGATCAGGAGGAGTGAGGCAATGGTTCCCTCCAATGGAAAAAGAATCACAGTATACAAACACAAGAAAACAAAAATAAAACCCACTGCCACTGCACATCAAAGCTGAGCTGCAGATAGCACAGCTCTCTAACACTGTTGACAGGAACCCCGAGGTTTACAGCAGCTTTCAAAATGGCACAATATTGTATGGAAGTGCCCTCAGTGGAAATAACATTGAGTGGCTTCCATGCTTTCTTCTCTTCTCTCCTACGCCATCAATTTTTCCTTCTGCTTCTTGTTTGTGGTAACAGCTTTGTCACAAAAAGCAATGATTATTCCCAGTGAAGAAGTTAATGAGAGAACAGGGTGCAGAACCATTCCTGTCAGGTGAATGATCCTTTCCATAATTCGCAAATGGAACCATTTGTTTTTACTTCTGAGTAAAAACCACATTACCTACACATTTTAATCAAAATTATGTAACATTTACATACAGAGTTGCTATTTTATTAAAATATAATACTTATTGCAAGGTCCGTGATCTCCAAGATACAAAACTAAAATACGTATTTCCACCATAGCAGGAAGTGACAACGAAGGCAAAGAACTGTATGGATGGAGAAAAAGAGGGGGACATGATTAGAAAATAGTAAAAGTTATTAGGCAGATTTTTATTTGTATTCAAATGTAATAAAAGGGATAATACAAAAATAAATTTAAAATCCTCGCTCTCATTGTTTCCATTGCCAGCAGGACACTAAATTTTGTGGAAGAAATATTATTGGGCCTTAGTGTATGCATAGTATTAAGATGATCCTTATAGTGGCAATTCCACATTGACACTAGTGAAAATAAGTGACATTTTTGGTGGTTTTTAACTGGAGGTTAATGAGTAGTTAAATATTGCTTCTTAGCTGTTTGGTATTTGACAAGTTTGTTTCCATGGTGCTTTATTACACCAAGCCAGCTAAGAAATTTTACTCAGCAGGTCCATGAAATAAATATACTTTAGTTTTAGTTATGCTTTCAGAACTGGCTATTCTCCAGTGAATTCAGTCTTTCCTTTCTCTAAGAATCCAGATACTAATTTAAGCAGGAAAACATGAATATTATAGATCGGAATAATAAACACACACATTATTTGGTGCATATACTTCTACAGTTTTTGAATTTATGTCTGTGCGTGTGTGTGTGTGTGTAGTTTAGTGTCATTAAACAATGAGTTAGTTCACACATAAGATCATCATTTAATTTCCCAGAGATTCATATTGTGGTTCTTAAGCAGAGAGTTTTTAATTTTTTTCCCCCCAGAATGACACAAAAGTGTGGCTCAATAAGCTTTGCAAATGTTGACTTAATTCATAAGGGAAAGGGAAATAAACATTTATTAGAGGCTCTTGTATCTAACAGGTCCAACAAGTTGGAGAACTGATATTTTTAGCAAACAAAAACTAAACTGAAACCTAGATGTTCATGAAAAACAACACTCTTCTACAGTCCTTTTCACTGCTGCTGTATACAAACATTCTGAAATTTTACCAAGAATTTTCCACACACCCTCAGCCATAGATTTATATCATGAAAGGCTAGAACAATACTCTTTTTCCTCAAGAAGAAAGCAAAGAATTTATGTATTTATTTGTTTGATTTCCAAGGCTGCCTAATTGCCAAGTGACTTTTTCCAAATGCTGAACTTTATGCACAAAAACAGTGTACATAAGAATTTGGCCTTTGCAGGCAGTTGTATTTTTTGAAGTTACTTTTGGAGAAATAACCATACTTTAGATGAGAAGATTTTTCTGCCTCAGAATAAAAGCAACAGATGAAAGGAGTTGGAAAATGAAATTCATTTATTGTACCTAAGCATGACCCACTGAGAACAGTAATGACTTGTGCAAACATATCTGCCACAGGGATATGAGATATAATTACGTGAATTTAACCATTACAGTGTTTCTTCCATACACAGACAAGGGGAAGAGAGTAGGACTATACTTGCTTGCCCCTATCATGCTACGTCACAATTCGTTGCACAAGTCATTGTGGCCTAGTTCACATAACACGTTACCATAAATCACAATGTCTACTAAGCCAAGATCAAATCAGCTATTTTATGCTTTAGCACATACCTGACCTTGGCTGATAGTGATAAAATTAAGAAAGGTCAGGCATGATCAGTACTTGAATGGGAAGCTATCTAAAAATCCCAGGGCTGTAGGCTGTTAGCTCAACTCAAAGGAGGTGGGGCGTTTTTGTTTTTTTGGTGCTTTCAAGTCAGTTTTTGACTCCTGGTGACTGCCTGGACTAGTCCCTGCAGTTTTCTTGGCAAAGTTTTTCAGAAGTGGTCTGCCATTGCTTCCTTCTCCCTAGGGCTGAGAGAGAGTTGCTGGCCCAAGGTCACCCAACTGGCTTTGTGCATAAGGCAGGACTAGAACTCACCGTTTCCTGGTTTCTAGCCTGATGCCTTAACCACTACACCAAACTGGCTCTCTAAGGAGAGTTTAGTTTTAATCCACAGAGTTTAATTTTACAGTAAACCCAGCTATACAAAACATTTAACAGTAGGCAGTTGCATATAAGGCAGACAAGTAGATCAGTCCTACATCAAGAACTCCAGGTACACAGAATTTGCATGGAACCCTTACACCAGAACTGCTCCATTTTTGTGGCCAACGCCCATATTTAGTATTTGGGGGGAGGCTGAAGGTTGCAATGTGGTTCAGACCATTTCAGGACAGAGTGAACAAAGCTCTTTTTTTCTTGGATTTTGATTTTTAACTGCAATTTGCCTCTTTTACAACTCATACTACAGTTTTCATTTGTTTCTCATCTCAAAAGGGCAGGATAATGTGTCAACAGTCATGGCCAGGGGAGTTACTCTGCAAGAAGGGAAGCAGATGTTATCCCGAGGTTGCCAGCCCCTGAGCTAACCCACAGATACTTTTTCCAGACTTTGGTTCTACATCCCAAGGTCCAAATAGCAGAGCAATTAAATAAAGAGAACTATTTTCCTTATTTAATGAATGGAGAAATTATTTATTTCATATGTGATATAATCCAAACATCTCACATGATGCTGCCATTAGCACATTTCTAGGTGAAAAAAGCAGGATTTAAAAGGTACTTAATAAATAAAATGCAGGTAATACACTTGCTGCATCTGACACAATGTACCATTTTAACAGTGTCTTGACTATTGTCTTTCAACTTGAATCTTCTTACATCTGACTCTGGAGGTAAATGAACCACAGCTAACACACACCTTTCCCCTCTCTCCTGATACTAAGGTTGAAGGTTATCTTACCGAAGATGCTGCCCAACTATTGTAACTGTGGTTGTCAAGTTCTTTGGTGACTGCACATGCTTCTGAAATAGCAGCAATTAAGTACAAGAGAAGGGCACTGCCATTAAAACACAGACCCTACAGGATGGGAAAGAAAAACAGGAGATAAGGATTTCCCCCCCCCATGCACATTATTCCATGCACAATTATATCATACCCTGGTTTAAAGACAGGCTGGCTGAGATGAGGGAGATGTACTCCTTATTCTGGAAAGACCACATTGGGGAGAAAGCTACAGCAACTGAATGGATGCTTGAACTAATACCACAAGGAGCACGGTTCATTTCCTCAACCGCAAGCTTGCTGGTGGGAAAGGGCTCCAACTTACTGATTAAAAAGAAAGAGAACCTTTTCCGTAAGCAAGATCTACAAACTGCACTCTTCCCATTAGACAGCTTCACATGGAACCAGATGGCCCAAGACACTGGTGACTGCAGGAGAACAGTCAAATGGTAACCCTCATATAGCTGAGTCAGAGGATGGCTAAGAATAACACTTAAAAGGGTTCTGGGCAGGGCTCAGGATCACAATGGCCGGGATAAGGCAGAAGGGTATATGCGGTCAGACTGGCAATCTCAATTTCTCTGTGTATATCCTGGCCATTAGGTAGTATGGAGTGTTTCATAAAATGTTGCTATGCCAGCAGAACTGTTTGATACAGATTGTTCTAGCCAATAAAGGTATGCTTTGGGATTCTCCCCGCAAAATGGGAAATACAGCTCCACTTAGGATGTGTTGCATATTTTCTTAAGGGTTAAAACTGGTCTATAAGCTTCTGCATCCACCTCCTCAAACAAACAAACAAATGCCAAGCCAAATATTGTGGCCTCACCCACTCCAGAAATGTTCTGGGAGGCATCAAGGGCTGCTGTGGATCTGCATGAAGGTCACTGGTTCCTGTTCTCTGTGGTATATGTTTGAACTGCCTGTAAGAAACTACTACCATCACAACAATTTTCTTTAAAAATCTTGTAATGTGGGTGAAAATACATATACTCACGACTGTGGTCCATGGCACTTGAGGAATCCTAGTATATGCCATTGTCATGTAGATGATTAAAAAGAAGAGTGTAAGAATCCAGTAAAACACAGCCACAAACATTATCCAGCCAAATACAGGGTACAGGAAATATTCTGTTCCAGCAATCAATATCCATACCAGAAATCCTAATACCTACAAATACATAAAGAAGTAAGATATTGTTACTGAATGCAAAGTGGAACATGTGCAAGCAAAAATTGTTTTAAACACTTTTTAAAAATCTGATTCCAGAATATGAATTTTCAGGTTTGATTCCTCTTTCCCTCTCTCTGTCCTGTTTAAGAAAGTAATCTCATCCTATCAAAGAAAATACACATATAATGACCTTAGTTGATCTTGAAAAAGCTAAGCAGAGTTGGACCTGGGTAGAATTTGGATGGGAGATCACCAGGAACTCCCAGGGCTATAGATTAGATTGAAGAGTTGAAAAAATATTCCAGAAAGCAGCAATGGCAAATTTTTGCATTGTTACCAAGAAAGCACAAATATGTCCATGTTGGCACAGGAGTCAACTCAAAAGAGACTTTAATTTCATTCTACAAATCTTTGCTATACTTATTTTGCTTCCAACATCAGAGTTAGAGCTGAAGTAAGAATTAGGGCCAGGATAAGTTGCTCAAAAAGATAATCAGTATTGGAAAAATTTCAGAAGGTGGAAAGTAATATAGAAAGTATTTGTGAATGTTCTGGCTTGGATGGACTGGACATGGGGTTACTTTCATTAATGTCACCACTGATCGCAGGCATCTGCTATTCAGTGTGACAATGCTGCATACAGTTTACACAGCAGAACCCTAACGTGTAAAACCCATTAACATACAAGTGATTTATTAGTTTCTATTATCTCATATAATGAAAGAAAATGTTTTTCCAGCAGGACAAACAGAAGACTAGAACTTGAAAAAGTGTATTTTTTGCTAGATCTAGAATCCAAATAAATACAGTTCCTCCAGCTCAGCTTCTTCCTTTAATAGTAATAGGTGAGCTCTTACACCTTTCCCATATAGAAGTATGAACTGTTCTAATCGCTTCTGAACAAATATGATTGTATATATCCATATATATCAGGAATTCAACAAGAAAAAGTATAAACGAATGAGGGAGAACTCAAATATTGTACTGTGGATTTATTAAGGCCCTATAATAATATCACCTTAGTGAAGGGCTGAAAGTTCATGGATTATACGTGTTCTTTCAGGTTTATATAAAGGCAATACCAATATTTACAGAAAAATATCTAGCATTTAAGGAATGTTCTAAATCATCCTACACATAGTGTTTTTTTTTTAAGTTCTAAAAAATACTTCAGAAGCTTGCCATAACTACCATCAGCCCTGACAGCATGAGTGACTTAAACAGTCAGTGGTGATTTGAGGCCCAGTCCAGTAACACAAATAATGTAAGCAATTTTAGACCGTAAATATCTAAAAAGAAGGGAAAGTTGGTCATGAGTATTATTTGGAAATGCATACTGTTTTGCCACAGAAAAGGCAATCTATTTTAAAAGTAAAAACAACAGAGAAATAGTTCTAAGTTTTTAAAAGACATTGAATAAAAGAATACTGCAGCACAAACCTGGTTCTGTTGGTCCGCCAGCCTTTAAGCCTCCCTGGATCTCTTTTCTGCTGCCCTGTCCTTGCTTAGGGTAGCGTGGCTTAGCAATCATTTAGGGCCCTTGGGCTAGGAATCTCTGACCCTTAATCCCTGAGCTCTAGATCTAGTTGCACCCAAGCTCAAAGGCTGGAAAGCCTGATTTAGAGAAATAAACAAATTCACTCACTTCACTCCCATTCAACTTCATCTTCCATTTATTCTCTGAATCTGCATTATACAGTTTAAAGCAGGTTACTATTCTCTTACATTTAATAAGAGTCAGCTTGATTACAAATTCATACAGAACAGCATTTGCTACCACTGGAGGTCACCACTGGTCCATAGAAATATTTATTTTGCAACATTAAAGTAGTTTCTAAAATAACCTTTGATGAAATCCAGTTAATGTTTTAACTTCTGGGCTATATATAACAGCAATTCAGTTATTCAATATTTTATGTAATACTACATGATTTTATGTCTACAATTATAAATAATATTGGGCATAAAATAATTTTTACACTTTTCTACTTAATCTGTAAGAGTGGATAGCTGGAAGTGCACTCACAAGTACACTGAGGTACAGTTGTCTTTCTCCATTTAACCCTTGTGAGTTCAGTCAATTTAGTGCTTGATCATGTAGGTTTATCTTCATATTTTTCCTTGAATTGCTAGGTTTGTTTTCATTAATCCAATCATGGTTATAATGCTGGTTTTCTGCAAAATCATCATTTGGAAGCTGGAAGTTAAAGTCATGAAAGCAGACTCATTCTTGCTAATAGTGAAATTGTCCTCTTCTGGGACTTAACCATAATGTAACAGAGCATATCCACACAAGCTAATTATTTATAATTCTCATCTTCAAATAAAGGCTATAGATATAAAAAGTTAGACTACTGGCAGAATCACATAATTTTTCTTTGTGATTAGTATTCTATACCACTTTTTTCATTAATATCAACTAATTGATATATTCTGTGCATTGAATGAAACTGATTATAGTCCACAAATGGAATAATAAATGCATTAATCTGTTAAAATATCACAGTACTTTTTGTTATGCTGAAGAATAGGCGGGACTAATCTGTTAGGCTTGGATTATAGTTCTGCTGTCTGGTTCTCATCAGGGGCAAAAATGTGCTTTTTTCCACTAAGAAAAATGCTCAGTTCATGCCACTCCAGGCACTGTGTGAGTTCTGAGGCACAGTTGATTTATTTTGGTCACAGCCTTGAGATATAATGGATTAAGAGATATTTGACATTTTCAGCTTGTTCAGGAAAATGGAGGACCATATTTTATTGAGCCTGACAAACTTCAAAATAATATTACACATTTCTTGATTAGAATTTAAAAGGTCAGGCTGGCTCTTCCCAGATAACTTATGCTCGGTCCATAGCTGTGAATAGGTATGTAATACAGTGAACAGATTTCCACACTGTTTAAATGTCTCTTGAAAATTGATTTAACATTCACAGACCCAGCCAACTTAGAAAATATACCAGGCCCTAATACCACAGGTATGTAGGGCACACAATAGAACAATCCTTTCATTCTTAGTCACAGCTTGGTAGGTATGTTGAAGAGCTACCTTGCCACAATTATGTAAGCTTGTCTCATAATAACCTGATTGTTCTTTATGTTGCAAGCACATGGTTCCTTTGATAGTTTGTGGAATCTGTTTAGTTTCTTATTATAATCTTGTCTGACTTAGTCGTAAGAAAAAAAAGGGGGCATGTACAGGGGTTCTTGCCTGGAATTCACAAAGAGGCAGCTATAAACCACACTCAAGTGGTTTTGAATAATTATGTAGAAGAAATAATTTTGGTAGACGCAGCTTAACATATCCTACTAGCAATATTCACTTTAAAAAACAGAAGCAAAACACAGGGATTGGCAAATCTCAGTACAGCCATTCACAAGAGATTTTTTTTTTACACTTTTAATAAGAACGATCTCATAAACCACAATATATATCTACTGAACTGGGTCTATTTGTTTTCTGCATGTGCCAAAGTCAGTCAGCCTTGGCAGACAATCAAGTGCTTCCAAGCTGGATGGCTCTGGCAAATGCTGCAGAAAATCCTATAAAATTTGCCAAAAGTGACCAACCTGGAGCCTCTCGGTGTGCTATGCAGGCATTCTGGTAGCGTGCACCAAAGATGCCCAGCCTGGAGACCATACTTGCCCAAAGTTTAACTTACCTAAAATTTCCCAGACCAGGTGGATCTGGTACATAACTCAAGCAATCCCACAATGCATGCTGGAGTCAGCAACCTTGGAGCCCCCATGGTACATGCTGAAGGTCTTTCAGGCTGGGTAACTCCAACATGTGTTGAGGGACAGTCAGACAGTCCCAAGTTCAAAGCATTGGGCTACCACAAATGAAATAAGCAAAAGTGTAAGCCAAGTCTTGCCAAAGAGCTGTAGCCAGCACTACATTACCCAATTAGAAGCAGTCACTAGACTGTCAGAGATTTAAGAGTCCAGCTAGCTCACATACGTTTCCAAGCATAGGGCAGTATTGTGGGAGATTGCCCATTTTGTCTCCAACTGTTAGCTCAGTGAGCCATGTACCTAGTTATGTCCCAGATAGCTGAGCACCCCCTAAGCTTAACTGTTATATAATTAACTTACTGCTGGCAAAAAATTACTCCCAAGGAACCTGGCACTTCTGCAGCATTCAGACCCCTGGATTTCATCATTCTCTCCCCTTTAGAGCTTTGAACCTCTGGTTAGATTCCAGCTTCCAGGATGAAAAAGGTTCTGAAAAGTGTTTGAAATATGGGCTTTGGATAAACCCAGGTGGATCATTTTGAAAGAGCTGAGAGCTGCAGTAGGCAGGTTATAATGCACAATGGGCAGGACCTCCACACGCATACATTTCTTTTTCTGAGTTTTGGGGAGAGTTGAAAGTTTCATTTTCAAAATCTGTGCTAACCCTGTTTAACAGCTTACAGGATAGTTTTTATATTTCCAACCTTAAAAAGGCAGAAAATTGAGTTGCCAATTTTTAGCAATTGTACCATGACATTAATCTGCAAAGATGGAAGGAGCTCCTCTCCAATAAAGCAGTCTCATAAATATTTCCCTTGAAACAGAAAGTTCAGTGCAATTTTCAGGTGGAAAATTAGTCCCTGATCATGAAAATGTTTTAAACTAAGAGTAAATATTGCAGTATCTCCAATTATATTTCTGAAGGCAGTGTCATCTACTTAGTCAGTGCAATGCCTGAATAATACATCCTTCTTGTTGCTGTAATTGTTAAAGAATATCAAACAGTGGCTATGACTCCTTGACCAAAACTTTATTTACATAAGCCAATTTGTTTAAAGAGTTTGTTTAAAAAGTTTCTAACTGCTTCAAAAGAACAATGCTGTATATAGCTGCTTTCCTAATAATGACAAGCTTTGCTGTTTTAAAATCTCCATCTTCCTGTTATGGCTTTACTCCCTCTATTTATAGTAAGCAACAGCATTGTTCTGTGAATCTTTTTTTAAAATATAGGAAACCATCTTCCTAATGCACATAACAAATGAAAATTGCAATGGCTCCTATTGCAATAAAATTTTAGCTTCTCAAAGATTGAGACTGGACAACAGAAAGATATATAAAGTTCTCCTATGGGAAATAGCAATTTAAAAAGAATTTTGAATTTTATTTCCTATGTCCTGTGTTCTTTGTAATACCATGATTTTGACCAGAGGAATGGACTCTTCATTAATGCTTACGAAGTAGAGAACTTTCAGATACTATAAGCAAAACATAAAACATGGAAATTCTTCCTTGACAATTAGCAGCATATAAGCACCCAATGTTTTCAAATATTGCAAAATCATGTCTCAGTCCATATATTCATGAACTGAAATGAAAAAATGGTTGAGTTACCGGGCCCAGTTAGTAAATGTCAAATGACAAGTATTTTTGAAGATAACAACTTACATTTAGACAGTGCTTTGTAAACAAAACCCAACTCTGTGTTTTTCTCATATATTCAGACATTTCCAATCAAACTGATTTGGTTCACACTAAGTTATAATTTAGCATGATGAATAAACAATTACTGTGGCTTATTCCACAATCCTTGGTTAAAACAAAACGTGGCTTGACATGTGAACCAGCCAATGGATAAGATTGGTGTTGAAAAGATCCATAAAATGTTCAGTATCATCCTCTGTCAGCCTACTTGTGCCACTAACTCAGTCATCCCTAACTTGGATGGATAGAAACTTTATTTCAGTCATTGACCAATAAAAATACATTCTGTAAAACAAAACAAAATTATCCCCTAACCTCAATAGCTGTTAGCAACCATTTGTGAGTGAAGCTCACACATAATGTAGCAGAATTTTGCTACTGTTAGAGAACTAAATTTATCTTGGTTGTTTAACAGATAACGCAAATAAAAATTATCAGAGCGCCCTGGAAATTTAAATAAAAAGTGGATAATCAACTGGTGGCAAATGTCCCTGTAGAACTGACAATACAAAAGAACACAGGCTATGGTTTCTATGGCACCTGTGTCACAGAGGAATATCAGGTTTCATATGGGGTTTTTCTATATTTCCCTTCCAAAACAGCTGCGGGAAGGACACTAAATCAAGCTAGAGATAAGGCTCTTTTGAATTTGGGGACTGTAATATGATATAAATACAAAGTTGGTTTAGGTGCTAAGATTTGGTTATTAACAATTATATGATGAGAAACTTCAGAAGTTTTTGTTTGGCCTTCTATATCTAAGATCCTTTGCCTTAACATTGATCTAGCTTGATCTGACTCTAAGGTTAAGATGGCATCACT